GGGCTGCGGCCAGCGGCGTGCCACGGCCCCAGGTGCCTCCCGGAGACGGGGTCAGCCGCAGGAGCGGGTGCGCTGGGGAGGCGTGGCGGGAGAAGGCCGGCGATTCCGGCACCGGGACGGTGAGGAAGCGCGTGGAGGGCGCCGGCGAGGGCGCGCGGCTGCTGCCGGCCGCGCCCACGGACTTCACGCGCACGTCCACCTGCAGTTCCACGGGGGTCCAGGCGCCCCGAGCCGGCTCACCGGGCGCGGCCCTGAGCATCTGCTCGGCCCCCGGCGTCTCGCCGTCCCGGGGCTGCTCAGCCGCGGCTGGGCCCGGCAACGGCAGCTCCGGGCTGGCCGACTCCTGACGGCGGAAGGCTTTGTAGCCCGGGCTGGATGGCAGCAACCGCAGGGGCGCGGGTCGAGGCGAGGGCAGCTTCTTCCCGCCCGACAGGTCCTGGCCCGCGCCCGCCTCCTCCTTCACTGCGGGAGCCAGACTCGGGCTGCTCTCGGGACTCTCAGGGCGTCTTTCCTCCGCGGGGACCTGGGGCTGCTCCAGCTCCGGGACCCGGCTTCCCAAGGGCTCCGTTGGGAACTCGGCTCCGTCTTGGTCTTCCCCCGACGCCGCCCGGGCTCCCTCCATTTTATACGCGGAGCAGCCGAGAGGTGCCGAGCGGGGTGCACCTGGGCCCAGGTAGGGAGTTAGCTTCGCCTCCCGGGTCGGGATTGGTTCCGATGGGTCGCTCTAAACCGTCAAGCCACGCCCTTCTCCGTCGCCACACCCACTTCCTCCTCCCAGCCAAGGACCCTGCTGGGATTGGCTGTGGCTCGGGTTCTGTTGGCCACGCCTCTTCAGGCCCCCAGCCTCGCCTTCACTTGGCGAAGGAGAAGAGAGGGGCAGAAGGGTCTGGCTGAGGGGTTACCCAGAAAGAGCCGGGAGACGGGTAAGGGGGAGCCCAGAGCGCAGACCCTTCTCTCTTCCTTGTCTCGGGCCCCACCCATTTCCCCCTCCAGCCCTCTGCCATTGTGCTGATTTTTGAGAGTTAGGGAAGGAGCGGCACACCTAGAGGACTCCCCCAAGGCAGAAGTCCCAGAGACATGTACTCTGGAGGTCTGACTCCTACTGGGCTAACTCAATAAAGACTGAGAAATGAATAAGCTTGAAAATGTGTATTTTCACGGCGGGAGAAGCCTGGTCCCCTGCCAGCCTGGTGTGGAGAACAGGGTTCCCAGCCCTGACCAGTAATCTGAATACCATGAAAAAAATACAGATTCCTGGCAGACTCCACCCAGACCTACTGAATCTCATAAGGGGATAAGGCCAATTTTTAACAAGTGCCCCAGGATAGGATTGGCAGATAAAATACAGACCATTCGGTTAAATCTGAATTTCAGATAAATAAATAAATAATAGTTTTTTTTGTTTTTTTGTATAAGAACGTCCCAAGTGCTCCGTGGGATATACTTATATTTAAAAAGTATTCGTTATCTGAAATTAAAATTTAACCTGCCTCCTGTATTTTTATTTGCCAAATCAGGCAAGTCTACCCCAGGGACTTCTGCTGGAGTGATCTTGGTAGCAGCATTTGGAAAGACCACAGACTCGCTACTCCTGAGAGACGGGAAGGAAGCAGGATGTGGAGGGGAAGGATCTTAGGAGGGGAGGTAAACTACTGCAAAGGATGCTTCCTGAAGACAAGCAACTGAGAGAAAAAGTCCAGCAGAAAGAAAGCACTATATGAAAACACTTTATGTTTAATCTCTACCAAACCCAGGCTATGTATTTAATGTGGGGATATATATATATATATGCCTGAAAATGCATTTAAAAAGATGTGGGAAAAAAAAAAAAAAGATGTGGAAAGATAGATACATACCAAAGTGATAATACTAGTGGATTTTGCTGTAGATTGTCTGGGCTGGGGCAGGGGGGAACGTCTAGGAGACTTAACCTTATCTGCAATGTTTCCACTTTCTAGAAACAGAAGGTATTTTTGTATATTCTTACATAAAAATTCAATTTTTAAAGAGATGGCATATAGTAAGTTATTTTTTAGGGCTAATAAAGATTACTAAAAATATGAAAATAGTTCAAAAAGTATATAAAATATAAAGGAAAGGTCTCTTCTGTCCCTCTATTTCACCTCTCAGAGTCAGCCGCTGTCCCTGTTGAGATGGGCTGCTTGTTCATTTCCAGTGTGGACTGGAGCTGAGAGGGGAGCATCCTGACTGGCTTTCCTGCTTAAATATCTTTGCCTGGGATGACGATCATCACATATGTAGTTTATAAAATCAAAGACTTCTTATCTTCCACATGTTTTGGCTCAGAGCGAGTCCGCGAGGAAAACATGATGTGCGTCACTGTGTCACGGTCCCTAAGAGGGAGACGCCAAGGCCTGGCTCCCCCGGCCACAGCCCACCACCCTGGGCTGGGCTCAGACTCAGAGGCACCCAGGGCCATCTAAATTCCATCTTGAATTTGAACTGTAAACCACAGTGCCTGTGGGAAGTTGGTGGCACGCACTGGCGCTGAGGGGTCACGAGCGGGGAGACCGAGGGCAGCAAGAGAAGTGGGCGCCACATGCTTGTGATACAAAATTTAAATATTACAGAAAGACACAATGTAGAAAGTGAAAGTGCTCAGGATTTCATGCCCCAGAGACCTCTGTTACTAACATTTCCATATACAGTCTTCTGGATGTTTTTTTCTATGCATACACTGACCTCGATTGCTATTATACGTACATATATTTTGTTTCCAAAACTCTACTCATATTAAATGCATACCTATACATGATTTATTTAAGCAGTCTCCTCCTGGTGGACATTTGGGTTGTTTCCTTCTGCGTGACATAGTTCCTGCAGTGCTGCAAATGCTACAGTTATAATTCAGTGACCATCCTTCTACATTGTTTTAAAAAATCACTTCTTTGATGATATCTTCAGAATAGATTAATTAAAATGGAACCAAAGGGTGGTCACAATTTCAGATTTGATGGACAGGGCCCAAATGACCCAGATTGCCCACAAGAGGCTGAGCAAATGAAGGATGAGAGAGGGTCGTCCACACAGCATCAACAGGACTTGATATTTCCATTCTCCTTAGTCTTTACTAATCTGATGGGTGAAATTTCAACTTGAATTTCTCGAGTTATGAATGAGGTTGGACATACCTTTCTTTTTTTTTTTTTGGCTGCATTGGGTCTTCCTTGCGGTGCGCAGGCTTCTCCTGTTGTGGAGCACGGACTCTAGGCACGCGGGCTCAGTAGCTGTGGCATGTGGGTCCTAGAGCACGCGGGCTTCAGTAGTTGTGGGGCGCAGGCTCAGTAGTTGTGGCGCACGGGCTTAGTTGCTCCGCGGCATGAGGGATCTTCCCAGACCAGAGATCGAACCGGTGTCCCCTGCACTGGCAAGCAGATTCTTAACCACTGCGCCACCAGGGAAGCCCCCTGAACATACTTTGTTAATTGTGTTACTGAGAAGTCTTTGCCAGTCTCAGGGCCTGTGAAGAGGGCCATGGAGATTCCCTCTAAGGCGCGTTCCAGATCACTGGTTGGTTCCAGGAAGTGGCTCAGCAGGCACCCTTGTCAAGCCCTCCTGGAGTTCACTGCTCCAGGAGGCTGATGGTACCGGCGCCACCTGAGCAAACTGAGGAGTTGTAAGAGCATAAACTGAGCCATGGCTGGCTGCTCCTAGAGAGGAAGCAAACACGCCCAGCCCCGGCTCTTGGCCGATGTCACCCCCTGTGACATCTTGAGCTCTTCTAGGGTCCTGGATGCACAGGTGGTGGCGGGGGGAGGTCTCTGCACCGCCAGCTCCCTGGCATGGCCATCCTCAGCTCACATTCCACCTGCTCAGAGGCTCAGGGGCAGCCAAGCCAGTGTGGCACTCCCACCCCCGGGTCCCTGGTCCCCCACCTGTGACTGTCTTCATAGCACTCGGCACTGTCTTCGGCCAACGTGTTCACATATTTGTTTCGTTGTTTACTATTTGTCTCCGGCCCTCTGGCAGCCACTGCTGTAACCCCAGGACAGTACCTGGCAGGCCCATCCCCAGCTCTTGGCCGATGTCACCCTGGTGACATATTATGAATATTTATGAAATAAACATTGCCGAATGGGGCGCTGTGCAGGGTACTTGACATACCTTGTCTCATTTCTTCTTTTTCTCCCCCGATTTTTCTCTGACAAATTTTAAACATTAAGAAAAATAGAAAGCACACACAGCGAACTCTTAAAGACCCTCCACCTGGACTCAACAGTTAGCATTTCATCATATTTGCTTTGTCTTTCTCTCCATGCTAATGTACTTTTTGTTGCCGAACCATTTGAATGTGCTTCAGACCTCGCGAAACTTGTGCCTTAAATACTCCAGCATGTATCACCCACGAATATAGTATTCTGCAGAAGTCCATACCATCCTCACACCAAGAAATGAGCAAGTACTCCATACTAGATGATATTACAGAGACCGTATTTAAATTCCCCCAATTTTTTTTCAAACTAGGATCCAATCAAGTTTCACACAGTGCATTCGGCTGTTATGAGTAAATACTCTTCACAGTGACTCGGTGAGGAAGACACTAAAATTCCTTCTTTACCGGAAACTGAGAGTGAGAGAGGTTGAGGTACTTGCCAGGGTCACAGAACTCCTAAGTGGAAGGCTCACGCTGCCATCATGCATCTGCGACTGCCAAACACGTCTTTTCTCCCCGTTGCCTGCATCTTGTTCCCCTCGTCCTCTGGGCTCTTGGAGGTTTCTTTCCCAGTCTCTGGTCCATGCAAGTCATGGGCTGGGGCCAAGGAGCAGGAGTTGACCTAGTTACTCAGCAGCCGGGGCCTTGCTTTCAAGTTCCTCCAGCCACCTCCTTACCCTGATCTTATCCCTGTTGTTCTCTGGGACATTAGCTTTCTGCTGGGAGTGACAAGGCATCCTGTTTCTGCCTCAGTTATTTGGTGAAGGATCCGCTTGCAGCTAGAGGAGAGACAAACGTGAATCCAGTGGAGGAACAAATGGTGGCCTTCAGTCAGGTGAGCAGGTAAAGGTAAGGCTGCAACGGGGGTGAGAAAATATTCCACCTGGACGCGTCCAAGCTCATCCAAGGAGACTTGGAAGCCGTAACAGGACAGGAAAACAGCTCCCTGAGTCACCGTCTGCTTGCTCCCGGCATGTCAAAACAAAGATCCTCCCTTGCTGGGAGCGCCACTCCCGGAATCTGCTACAATGCAGTGCACTGGGGCTTGTGAGTTACTGACCTGTGTGAATAGACAGCCCTGATGAATAGATAGTAACACTGTCTACTGAGGCACACCCAGCTGATCTCTCTGGGTCTGGGGCTCAACACCCGGAAAGACCTGAATGGGAGCAGTGCAGGGAACAGGAGACAGGGGCAGAAAGAGATGAGGGGGGAACAAAGGGACGTGAGAGCAGAAGCGGCACCCACTGCCTCACACCGCTGCTACGCAAAAGACTCTTCATCAGGCTGTGTGGGACCCCTAGAGCCACAGTCTGAGAGCAGCAAAAGGAGAAGACAGCAGCGCCCAGAAGCACCTCGGTGAGCGGCATCCAGATGTGGAGGACCCTCCCCCACCCCCAACCCCCCCCCCGGGAGCCAAGTCAGCCCGCCACGGAGGAGACTTCCTAGCGAGTCCTCGGGCACCGGGATCTCCCAAGTCAAAGCAGGCCTCGCGAACTCTAAACAAAGGCCTAGAGTATATAACTAGGAAGGCTGACTAAATGTGGATGTTAAGTCTAAGCTAAGATGTTAACAGCTGGAGCATGTGTATTTCAAGACAAAGGTGGTAACTATTTATATAATCAGAAAAAAAAAAAAAGCCGTTTTCAGGGAAAATGAGGGATGGAGAAAAAAGTGGAACATAAGAAAATGTCTCCCAAATACAAGAATTTGGCAAGTTTTCCCAGCCCTGCTTGATATAGAGACACACCAGACATTCTAGTCCCCTGAGACGCGGGGGACCCTTGCCTGCCCCGTGCGACCCGCCGCCAGTGGTGGTGATAACCTATCACTGGCAGTCCCCACTCCCAAACTGTTAGGGAAACACTGGCTGAAACCGCCTGCCCTGGCCGGGCCAAGACAGTAACAATTTGCATGAGTTATCTTACAACAGGAGGTCCTGGTAAGGAACACGGAACTAACAAGCCACCACCAACCAGAAGAATACGGGGAAGGTCAAAAGGAGAGAGGAGACTCCCGTCCACATGTCCTACCAACGTCCCAGAATCCTCCTCGCTGGAATCCACCTTGGCTGAGCGGTTGCGCGTGCCACCAGAAAGGACCCTGAGTCAGAGTGACTGGCCAGAGACAACCCGGAAACTAATCCCATCACCATGAAGCCCGAGACTGCGAGCCACGTGGCAGAGCCGTCCTCCTGGGTTCCCTTACCAGCTCCACCAGGGCGCCCCTTCCCGACAAAGTCTCTTGCTTTGTCAGCACGTGTGTCTCCTCGGACAATGCATTTCCGAGTGTTAGAAAAGAGCCCACTCTCGGGCCTTGGAAAGGGTTCTCTTTCCTGCAACAAAACTGAGGCCTGGAACCGAAGGGCGGGGAGGGCCAGCTGGGAAGGATAAGGGGTCCCTCAATACTACTGTGCAGGTAGCTGGTAAGTTTGGGGCACATCTCTCATCTCTCGTCAGCCTCCCTGTCTAACCCCTTAGTACAGGGCTCTTCTGCCTCCCTGGCCTTCTGCCCTGTTTCTCACTGAGACCCTTTGGAGGTCTCAGCCTCGTGCTCAAGCTTGGCCCAGCTGTCAGTGCCTTGATGGGTCCCGGCCACCCACCCTCCTCTTATGGACTCAGACAGCTGAGCCCTTTAGCCCATGGTGAAAACTCACCATTGAAAACCATCTCGGGACTTCCCTGGTGGTGCAGTGGGTAAGACTCCACGCTCCCAACGCAGGGGGCCTGGGTTCGATCCCTGGTCAGGGAACTGGATCTCGCATGCCGCAACTAAAAATTCTGCATGCTGCAACAAAGATCCCCCCCAAGGCAACGAAGATTCTGCGAGCTGCATCTAAGACCCGGCACAGCCAAAAAAATAAATACACAAATACATAAATAAATAATAAAAAAGGAAAGACCTTATTAAAAAAGAAAAGAAAACCATCTCACCCCCACTTAGACTGGATCCTGCCTGGTCTAGAGTTTAGTATTCTCTTGTGGTCTGAGTGGCCCCGTCACTAGGGCTCCATCATCTATCTTGATGGCTCCAGCTGCTGTTCTGCCTATTCTTGGCTTCCTCCCTTCAAGGAGCTCCCTGCAGCCAGGAGCGGGGAGCCATGTCCACAGTACCTCCCCCACCATGTGTGAACAGTCTTGAATTCTGGTATATGTGTGATTTGGTGACCACCAGCCTGGTTTTTTTGTTGTTGTTGTTGTTTTAAGATGTTGGGGGTAGGAGTTTATTAATTAATTTATTTTTGGCTGTGTTGGGTCTTCGTTTCTGTGTGAGGACTTTCTCTAGTTGCGGCGAGCGGGGGCCACTCTTCATCGCGGCGCGCGGGCCCCTCACTATCGCGGCCTCTCGTTGTGGAGCACAGGCTCCAGACGCGCAGGCTCAGTAGTTGTGGCTCACGGGCCTAGTTGCTCTGCGGCATGTGGGACCTTCCCAGACCAGGGCTCGAACCCGTGTCCCCTGCATTAGCAGGCAGATTCCCAACCACTGTGCCACCAGGGAAGCCCCACCAGCCTGGTTTTTCAGACGAGAGCCCAGAGATCTCCAGGTTCAATCACTGTGTCTGGGGAAACACCATCTGCGACATTGCATTTTATAAGAAATATAGGGGCTTCACTGATGGCGCAGTGGTTGGGAGTCCGCCTGCCAATGCAGGGGACATGGGTTTGACCCCTGGCCCTGGAGGATCCCACATGCCGCGGAGCAACTAAGCCCGTGAGCCACAGCTGCTGAAGCCTGTGTGCCTGGAGCCTGTGCTCCGCAACAGGAGAGGCCACCACAATGAGAGGCTCACACAGCGCAGGGAAGAGTAGCCCCCGCTCGCCGCAACCAGAGAAAACCTGCACGCAGCTGCAAAGACCCAACGCAGCCAAAAATAAAATAAATAAAATTTTAAAAATTTATAAAAAAAAAGAAAAAGAAATATATATTTGGTCTGTGTCCCCATTTCTGGCACATAGTTCCCAAAACTGTTGGAATTTCTTAAGTGATGAGGGCAATAAAGGTGTCTTTTGTTATGTTTGTAAGGTGACTTTTGGACTACACCAAAGGATGGGTCTGCTTGTCAGGAGAACCAACCATGTGACTAGAGGGCTGAAACTTTCTTTTCTTTGCTTCTTTTTTTTTTTTTTTAAGAATTTCAACTTTAAAAAAATATTTATTTATTTTGGCTGCGCCAAGTCTTAGTTGCAGCATGCAGGATCATTGTTGCGGCATGTGGGCTCTTTAGTTGCGGCATGTGGGATCTTTTAGTTGTGGAATGAGAGCTCTTAGTGCAGCAGGTGGGATCTAGTTCTCCTACCAGGGATCGAACCCGGGCATGCGAGATCTAGTTCCCCTATCAGGGATCGAACCCGGGCCCCCTGCATTGGGAGCGTACAGTCTTACCCACTGGACCACCAGGGAAGTCCTGAGGGCTAAAATTTTCAGCACCACCCTTGATCTCCAGGGACAGGAAAAGAGCAGAAGGTTGAATCAGTCACCAATGGGCAATGGTTTAATCAATCATGCCTGTGTAATGAAGCCTCCATCAAAACCCAAAAGGATGGGGTCTGGAGAACTTCTGGGTTGGTGAACATGTGGAGATGCAGGGAGAGTGGTGCCCTTGGAGAGAAGGGCATGGAAGCTCTGCCACCCCTGCCCACATTCCTTGCCCAATGCATCTGTTCCACCTGGCTGTTCCTGAGTTATATCCTTTTATAATAAACTGGTAATCTAGTAAGTAAACTGGTATCTTGAGTCCTGTGAGCCGCTCTAGCAAATTAATCCAACACAAGGATGGGGTCATGGGAACCTCTGCTGTATAGCCAGTTGGTTATAAGTACAGGTGACAACCTGGACTTTCAGTTGACACCTGAAGTGGTGGCAGTCTGGTGGGACTCAGTCCTTAATCTGTGGGATCTGACTATCTCCAGGTAGACAGTGTCAGAATTGAGCTAAATTGTAGAATAACCAGCTGGTGTCTGAAAATTGATTGGTTGTGTGGGAATACCCTCCCACATGGGAACTGATACCCAGAATCCTTACCATCCTTGACCTCTGTCTCACATTCTATAAAATTCAACCCCTCAGGGCTTCCCTGGTGGTCCAGTGGGTAAGACTCCGCACTCCCAATGTAGGGGCCCGGGTTCGATCCCTGGTCAGGGAACTAGATCCCGCATGCATGCCACAACTGAGAGTCCGCATCCCACAACTAATTAGTCCGCATGCTGCAACTAAAGATCCTTGTGCCGTAACGAAGACCCCGCGTGCTGCAACTAAGACCTGGCACAGCCAAAAAAAAAAATAATAATAATAATAAATAAATTAAAAAAAAATTCAACCCCTCACCTTAGGTAATAGCTGCAGAGATTAACGACTTGTTAGTTGAATCCTATCAACTTCCTTTCTTATTTCTGCATCACTGTTGTGATGGACAGGGCTCCTAAAGATTCAGAATGGGTAGTAATGTGCTTTTCAGCATTCAAGGGCAAGAAATGTCACCTTTCTTTATTTTCCTAAGTCATACGATATCCAATTCAAGCTGTCACTTATGAAGATGCATGAGAACTTCACTATGAGTCAATTTCCAGGGCTCCCTTTCGCAAGCAGATTAAACAAGGACCCCAGGATTTATTGGTGCCTTGAAAGAGGAGGCCCATTCTTGGGTTTTGGGTCCTGATTGTGCTGCTGCTTCTGCCTGAGACAGATGTAGCCTCCAGGTGCCGGTCTTTACCAGGCTTAACCCCACCCTTTACATGTGGGTGCAGGCAGCTGGGACCTGGGTCTTCTGCCTTCAGACTGGAATGACACCATCAGCTCTAGTGAGTCTCCAGCCTGCCAACTACAGACCATGAGATTGCTCGGCCTCTATAAGGGGGTGAGTTAGCTCCTAATTATACAAATAGGAAATATAAACATATGAAATATATATACAAACATATCCTTGTTGGTTCTGTTTCTCTAAAGAACCCCGACAAATCCAGCCTTTGTGTTACAGGCTCCCTCCTCCCTGGCCAGCCAGCCTCCACATGCATCCCCTCATGCCCTCCCCCGGTTGAGGCCCTGCCCCCTCCCTGTCCCTCC